AATTTCATGGTACTTTGCTTGTCATAGTAGTCAAAGTCAATCACAGGCCTTGGCTTGGCATCATCCCTGGGTGGGCCTAATCTATGTGCCCTTTCCACCTTGCAAAGATCAGATAGGCCCAGAGCCTTAGGTACAGCGGTGGAGCACAAAGAGCAGAGGTCCAACGGTCTTAGAGAATCTGGAATGCCAATGACTCTCAGACTGTTTGGTCTGGAACGATTTTCCAGATGGTCAACTTTATCCTGTAAGGCGTGCACCTGTTCAGCTAGATCACTGTAAAAACATTGTGAATCTGCAGCATTGTCTTCCAAGTCACATATGCTTAACTCCATGGCTTGTAAACGCTGAGTTTGGGCCTCTAAATTAGTATTGAGTTTCCCCAGCTGAAGCTGTAGTGTGTCCGCTATTATAGTTGCAATGTCAGACTAAATGCTTGGTGACTTCTGAGGCGATTAAAGAATAGTTGATGGCCATGTTATCAGGTAATACAGGAACCGATTCACCCTCTATGTGGTGGGTGGCATCCTGCTGCATGTCATCGGTGGCCATGTTGGATCCTTCCTTGCCGTCTAATGTGCCGTCTGTGAGAGCTCTGCGTGCTTTCGGCGCGCGCGCCAGATGTCTCCATGTCGGCAGAGTGAACTGAGGTCTACGGGCTGACAGCAGTGAGCGGGAGATGCTTCGGTGACAGTGCAGTGAGAGGAGGCGGGACGGAGCTCAGAGCCGCTCGTCTAAGGCATCGGGCGCCGGAACCGGAAGTCTTTTTTTTAAACTTTATCACTTTATTATTTTTTACTTTTTTTATTATAACTTTTATTTAACACCTAGTTTTATTCCCATCACACAAGGGATTACAAGCCCCTATGTGATAGTTAAGCGGTGACAAGTTCTCTTTATGGAACCTGCCCTCCAACAGATCTTCTGTGCAGTTCCTAACAGCTGTGACAGGTGTTATTACCGCGCTCCGATCTCACTGACCACACAGAGCGAAGAACGGACGTTCTTCGCCCTGCTCCCCGCTGTACATTTAGCCCTGCTTGCTTGAAGCAGGGCTAAATGTACAAAAAAAAAAAAAAAAACACCCGGTGCCCAGAACTGCATGTCCAAGGCATCGGGCGATAGGAATTCCACACCCCTGTGGTCAAGAGAAAGCCTCTTCTCTCTAAAAAGTACATGGCAGCATGGTTTTGGTTTGCAAAGTTGCATCTGAGCAAACCACAAGACTTTTGGAACAATATCCTTTGAACAGACGAGACCAAAAAGTGGAGATGTTTGTCCATAATGCACAGCGCCACATTTGGCGAAAACTAGGGTTGCACTGATACCATATTTTGAAGACCAAGTGCGAATACCATTACTTTTCCTCAAGTACTCACAGATACCAATTACAGACATCTTTTTTTTTAGCGCCATGTGACAAGTTTTCTAAAACAATACAAATTAATGATTTTAGGACAGTGGTGGAGTGCCAGGGCCCGGTCCCAGCTGCGACCACTGCAACCCTGGTATTTCTGACTCCAAGCTGCAGAGGGACTACACATCTCAGCAATACATTATACAGTAATGCAGAATAGCACCAGCTATAGGGGACTACAAATCCAAACAATAAATTATACAGCAATGCAGAATAACATCAGCTATGGAGGAGTAAAAATCCCAGCAATACAGAATGGCACCGGCTACAGATCCCAGGAAAATATTATACAGCAATACAAAATCCCACCAGCTATATAGGATTACAATTCCCAGGATTACATTATAAAGCAATGCAAAATAATATGAAGCGACATACTCTGTGTTGCTCCGGAGTGGCGGCCTGATGTCTCCAGGGTCCCAGATGGGCTGTGCGGTGGCAGAGATCCACAGGAAGGAGGAGAAGAGGTGTGATCAACGCTGAAAGCAGTGCTGCAAGGTCCCTAGAAGGCTGCCGAGGTCCCCAGCAAGCGTGGGACCTTATGGCAGCTGCTTGTGTTTAAAAATTTACAGCGCCGGTATCGGTGCTTAGTATCGAGCCATTTTCGCGAGTACAAATACTTGTGAAAAAGCCTGGTATAGGTGCATCCCTGGTGAAAAGCAAACACAGCATATTAGCACAAACACCTCATACCCAATGTCAAGCATTGTGGTGTAGGAGTGATGATTTGAGCTTGTTTTGCAAACACATGACCAGGGTAACTCGCAGGTATGGAGACAATGCATTCTAGAGTCAAATGTGAAGCCATCTGCTCAACAGCTAAAACTTAAGCAAAATTGGGTCATGCAACAGGTCAATGATCCCAAGCACACCAGCAAACCTACAATAGAATGGCTGAAAAAGAAAAGAATCAAGGTGCTGCAAAGGCCAGTCAAAGTCCAGACCTCAATCCGATTGAAATGCTGAAGTGGGACATAAAGAGAGCTGTGCATAAACAAATGCCCACAAACCTCAATGAACTGAAGTAACACTGTAAAGAAGAGTAGGCCAAAATTCCTCCACAACGATATGGGAGACTGATGAAGTCATACAGAAAACAATTGCTTCAAGTTAGGAATGTCCCGATACCACTTTTTCAAGACCAAACACAAGTACTTCCCCCTCATGTACTTGCCGATACCAATTACAGATACTTTTTCTTAAAGGGACAGGTGACATTTAAAAAAAACAATAGACTAATGATTTTAGGCCAATTTCTTTATGATTATGAAGAACTTTAAGACTTAGAAAAAAAAAAAACATTTAACCTATTCATGTTTTCACCCGCAATCGTGTGGGGCCCAAGCGGTATTGCGGCTGGAAACCGTGCGATCTGATTGGCGTGAATGGAGTGCCATTAGAAAATAATGCCACTGCCAACGCGATCGGCGGTGGTGTGCGATTTCCGTGACCGCCCAGCCATCCGCTCAGCTTCGTGCACGATGAACGGGCGGTCAAGGATTGTACACAATCGCCAATCGCACTGCCAGTGCAATTATTTTCTAATGGCACCCCAGTCGTGCCAGGCAGATTGCGCGGTTTCCGCCACAATACCGCCCTGCCTGAGCAGTTGCACACAATAGCGGTTGAAAACACTGCGCGTTTATTTCGCATCCAGAAGTTGGGGGCAGCGGGGCTGGTCTTCATTTTTTAAATTTTTATTTACTTTGTAAACATTTTTCATTTCCATTTGTTTTACTATTTTTACTTTATCACCTTTTTTTTACATTTTTATTTAGTTACAATTTTAATTAGTTATTTTTTACTTTATTATTTTTGAACAATTTAGTTTCACTTAACTTTATTGCTATCACACAGGGGATAACAAACCCCTGTGTGATAGCATTTGTAGGTGACAGGTACTCTTTATTGACTATTCGAAAAATGGATTGTCCCCAAATTATAGAAATCCCTTATTCGGAGCTGGTTCAGTAAACAGGTAGAAAGATATATAATTTATCAAATTGAATATTTAATCGTAGAAAAAACTTAAATACATCCACAACAAAACATTTAAAAACAATTAAAAAACTTCCCTTGGATAAACAGTGGTTAAAGAATCATGGATGATCTGCACTTCTGCTTCTGCCGAGACTAATGTGCGGGATGAGCTTTGGTGAGTGTCCAGGGAAGTTGTTAGCACACGTTACCCTGACGTGTTTCCTCCCCACACAGGGGCTTCCTCAGAGGGGCGTGTGGAGCAAATTAAATCATTCAGTGCTGTTGGACTCGAGCAGGCCTGTCTCTCCCCGAGCTACATGAGCTGTGAGTAACCTGGGATACTTTGTATCCGTACATGAATTACATTGTATGTATCTGCTCTAACCTTTCATGCCACATCAGTTGGTCTGCAGATCATCCATGATTCTTTAACCACTGTTTATCCAAGGGAAGTTTTTTAATTGTTTTTAAATGTTTTGTTGTGGATGTATTTAAGTTTTTTCTACGATTAAATATTCAATTTGATAAATTATATATCTTTCTACCTGTTTACTGAACCAGCTCCGAATAAGGGATTTCTATAATTTGGGGACAATCCATTTTTCGAATAGTTTTGCTGAAACCCTGGGGACTGCTATACTATATATTAATTTTGCTTTGGCGTAACTCCATTATGTTCCCTTTTCTTTTTTTGCATACTCTTTATTGACCCTGTCATCTCCAACACAGGAGTTCTAGCACAGCACTGTGCTAGAACTCCTGTGAGAAGAACGAGCAGCGGCCGGGAACAGAGGCTGAGGGAGGTGACAGAGCCTCCACAGCTCCATGTGTCCGGCTCTGTCACAGCTCCATGTATCCGGCTCTCTGCTCTCGCTTGCCCAGCACCCGGAACTACATGTTCCCGGGCGTCGAGCGCTACTAATTCAACACCGATGCGCAAGCATCAGCGTTATGCATCAGGGGATTTTCACAAGTACTTGTGAAAATGCCTTGCATCGGTATCGGGACATCTCTACCTCAAGTTGTTGCTGCTAAAATTGGGCAGCGTGTAACACAGCCCGCTCTAACTATTGGGAAGAGTATAGTTTACTCTCCCAATAGTTGTCCTTTAAGAAAGTGGGGATATCGGATGGCATCCACATCCTCCTTAAATAGAGTGATGCGTTCTTGGAAGACACTCCCTCAGGAAGTAGACCAGGAGTGGACAACTCTGGCCCTCCAGCTGTTGTGGAACTACAAGTCCCATGAGGCACTGCAAGACTGGCATGACTCCCAGAGGCATGTTGGGGTTTGTAATTAAAGCACAGCTGGATGGACTAACTTGCCCACCCCTGAAGTAGACAGTAGTGCTTGTCATGCTCATACACACATACACTACAAGTGCGCACTAAGGAGGTACGCTACCTCAACTAACAAAAACACTGTATCACACACCTCACTGCTGATTTGTTTATAACTTTTGTTAACATCATATGACAAATAAATTAAATGAAGAGACAAACTCTTTATTGAAAAAAATGCCAAATTTACAAACATACTATTGGGAAAAAACCTCCACCAATGATAATGTCACGGGGACGCCCTTATGTAGAGACGAATTACTAACCTCTTGCTCCGCTAGGTCCACTCTCTTCCTCCGTTTGCGGTCCTCTTCTGCGGCCTCAGCTTCGTCCCTACGTACTCGTGCAATGTTATCCTTATTGCGCACATGCCAGCTTTTCTTGGGCAAAATATTCATTTTGCAAGGGATATACTAGTTCGTCATAAGCTACGTCCCTACACTACAAAGCCAGAGAGTCTCTAGTCGAAATCGGCACTCTCAGAAACAAAGTTATATTAATGGCTCGGTAGCGGCTAGTTCCTTTCCTGCAGATTACCCAGTGATGTCACAGGAAACATGTGACCAGGAAGCAGGAACTAGTGGGCGGCAAATTTAAGTGAACAGGAACTGCTACACTGAATAAGAGGCTGCAGGCAGATGAGTTGTTATTCCCTGTTTGTCTCCAACTCACTGGCCGTCTTATTTTTACAAGATACCGTCTCTGTTTACCGGGCTCACTGTCTCTCTCTGTATCTGCGCTCCCCTATCTCTCTCTGCTTGCGCGCTCTATTTGCGCACGCTCACTGTCTGCGCTCTCCTCTCTCTCTGTCATACTGCATAGAATCATTTAGCAAAATCCAAAGCATGCCTGTTTCAGGCTTCTGATTGTTGTGGCAACAACCAGGCACGACGAACAGATGTCTTTAGTGAGATCTGCTGGTGATATCCTGCAGTACATGTCAGGAACAGTGTCACTAAGGTTATTATTGGCTGTCCTGGCGTTTGCAGCAGCCTAATAATAACCAATAATTAAAGGGTTTCTAAACCCTCAATTTTTTTTGCATATATCTACTGCTAGCAAGCAGTAGATATATACAAAAAACCCCGCTTTAACCATTTACCGTCTGCCGATCGTTGAAAGACGGCCAGACGGGAGTCTCCTGGATGCGGGTGGGCATCTTTAGACGTCCTTAGTGCTCGTGCACGACCCCTGGCGCGCTCGAGCGGTAACCCACCAGGATTTTAAACAGCCAGCGATGGGTGTTTACACACAAGTGGTCCGGCATCTGTAAAGACGTCTGATCGCTTGTATGATTCAAGTGAGGGTGCACCCTCCTCCTTACCTCTGATCGCTGTCCCTGCCGCTGTCCACGCGATCCCGGGCGTCCATCCATCCCGGGCCATGTGGCTCTGTTCACTGAGAACTGAGGGAGATCAGTCCGCAACCTCCCTCCGTTCTCCTCCTGGTCTCTGAATGCAGGAAGTTATGTATATTACCTCACTTCTGCATTCCTCTGTCACTATCCGGTACAGAAACCGGAGAGAAGCTGATGAAGCAGATCTGTGCTTCACCAACTTCTCTGGGGGTCCCTAGGTGACACTAGGAGTCTTAGAGACCCCTGATGTCTACATAAAGGGGACCTGTAACTGTAATTTGTTATCACATAGGAGCACCTTATGTGATAACAATAAAGTTAAAGGAGAACTATGAGGTGAGTGCTTTTCACTCACCTCATAGTTCTAGCCGACCTGTGACAATGAGACTGTCACAGGTCGGCACAGTAGATCGGGAGGTGAGTGAACACATACCGGGTTCGCTCGCCTCTCGATCCTGTCACGGCTCTCTGCCGTGACAGGGGGAGGGGCTGGATTCCCCGCTCCGATCTGCCAGCGCTGACTGGCGGAACGGACGGGGGAGGGGGCGGGTACAGCTGGCTCTGCGGTCATTACCAGCCACCCGGCTTTCTGATTGGCCGGGAAGCTGGCTCCATGTTCCTTTGCGGCACTCTAGGTCAGAGGAAATATCCCTCTGACCGGAAGTTCCGGTATTTGGGTAAGTAGCAGAGCGTTTGGGTGAGTAAGATTACTTGCCCAAATACTCGGTATTGCTGCATCCCTATCCACAATCGTGAATGAACAGGAGTTCATGTCTGGGAGTAAAGAATGTATCCTGATAACTAGAACACAGAACAAATAAACATAGGATGGCCAATAAATCCTAAACAGATTAGGAATATATAACATACATGAATATTATTATATTCATAAAAAGTTCTGGTAGTGTGTACGAAAACCAGAATCCACATTAAGTCCCTCCTTTATGGCATTGAAATGTAAAATCATTTTTATTTTGAATGTTTTTCTTTCATGAGAGTTTTTAAAATTCCCTTTCAGTACTTTAATATAGAGGTTTTGGATGGAGTGATCTTTCTGGGAGAAGTGATGTCCTACTGGAGTGCAATATTCATTTTCTTTGTGATTCTTGATCGAGCTCCTGTGTAGGTTCATCCTGAGATGCAGCTTAAGGCCAGTTTCACCAATGTAACAGCCTTTGTCACATGCTGAACACTGAATCATATAAAACACGTTAGCAGATTTACATGAGTATGATCCCTTAATGGTGTACATTTTGTTGTTGTGACTCGCTGTACTCTTGTCACATATATGTTGGCAAAGTTTGCAGCGGGGTTTTTTGCATTGTATTGCGCCATTCTGTGTCCATTCCTCTTCTCAGAGGAACGGACACAGGGATCAGAGGAACGGACACAGAATGGCGCAATACAATGCAAAAAACCCTGCTGCAAACTTTGCCAACAGAGATTTCCTGCCAGCAGGCAGACTTGAAAACTGAAGAGGGCAGCCATGCCACCAGAGGGGTAAGTTTTTGTATGTCTGTGTATGCATTCAGTGTCATTAAAATGGTGTGTGCACCTGGCTATCATCTGGATGTCGCCTATCCACCATTCCAGTATCCCTGATAGCACCTGTAGATGGAAGCTAGGTGCACTGTCATTGCCACACCTGTGGTGGATTGATGAGAGCCTTGGTGCACACACCTTTCCATATAAAGCCATCCACAACTCTGCCCCCGGATATATCTCAGACCTTGTCTCAAAATATCACCCTAACCGTCCACTCCGCTCTTCCCTAGACCTCCTGCTTTCCAGCTCCCTAGTCAACTCCTCCCATACTTGCCTCCAGGGCTTCTCTAGAGTTTCTCGCCATCCTCTGGAACTCTTTACCCCAACCTGTCCTTCTATCCCCCACCCTGACTGTCTTTAGGCGTTCCCTGAAGACTCTTCTCTTCAGGGAAGCCTATCCCACCTCAACCTAACCACTGAACCATCACATTCTCAAACAATTGATCCCCACACAGCTACCTCCTCATGTATCATTTCCCCCTCCTCTTTCAGATTGTAAGCCCTCAGGGGCAGGGCGCCCTCCTTACCATCCTGTCTTGTATTGTAATTGTAATGTCTTCCTTACATTGTAAAGCGCTGCTCAAACTGTTGGCACTATATAAATACTATGTAATAATAATAATAGACACTCTCACCTATCCGCCATTCCAGTGACACTGACTGTCGCATATCTGCTATTCCAGTGACACTACCAGTGCATGTCAGTGACCGTACCATTGACAATACACCAGGTTCCCAGCTACAGGCACTTTTAGTGTCATTAGAATGGTGGAGAGGAGGGAGCCAGGTGCAAAAAGTGAGAACGTCTTAAAGTGTACCTACCATAGCTCCACCCACCACCCTGCCCACAGTATCAGGAATTACAATCGCTAAACGTTTGCAAATATGCTGATCATTCAAATGATCACTCATCCATAGGCAGTGGACAAACTAAAAAAGTTCAAAGACCCAAAAAGCACACAACATTGTTTTAATTTCTCTGTTTATTGTATTTAGCAAGCAAATCAATAATTTAATAACATTGTAATTCTTACAGTAAAAAGCATGCGTCTATATTTTTTTTCTAGAAATACAATGTAATGCATTATATTATATTGTATTGTATAACAGCTGTAGTATTTACAAAGTGCCTGTGTGCTAACTGATGTATTTTCCCGATCACTGTAATTGCTATCAATAAAAATGCCTTTTTGATAACTTGTCATTGTATTGGGCTCTCGGATTAATACTGTTATTTTACTAGAGTTTGTGATTATTAATTCTACTCTCAGTGAGGTAGTGTGATTTAAGAGTAGTGATTAAGACCCCTGTGTGTTTCATTAGGGAAGGGGGGTATCTATTTCAATTCTTGTCTCACATACACAGCAAGAAATTTGAGGAAATATTTCTACATTTTAGAAAGTTGACACTAGAGCGAGTGTCACCATTGGAAGATTCCCCCTATTCCTGTTCTGGTAAAAACCTAATAATATTTTTTTATTTTTCTGTCTCAACCCTGTTAAAAAATCTGTTTCAAATCTTATATTTGTAGGTATCTTTAGCAACTGAGGTCTAATTGCCACCTCATCTCATGTAAGACATTAGAGATTGGGAAGGGCTAAGACATAGGCATGGAATCTACAGAAAAGAGCACCTCAACCAACATGGTACAATAATATTGTATGCATACTGTGTCAGTGGATTTGATTCTGGTAACATGGTACTAAAGTGACAAATATGCAATGTTTGCTGAAAGTAAATTTCTGGTATTTTAAAAATGTAAATCAGACTGATTCTATTGTGGTGGTATAGATAAGTGTGTAGATAAAATCTGTGGCATACTGGACAATGAATTCATGGAATGAACCCATTGTATATACATTGAGGAGAATATATCAAAACTGGAGCAGATAAAATCTGGAGAAGCTGCCTATGGCAACCAATCAGCTTCCATCTTTCATTTTCAAAGCTTAACTGAACAAACTAAAGAGATAAGCTGAAGGCAACTGCTCCTGATTCTGTCTGCTTCAGTTTTCATAAATTCCCCCCATTGTTTTATATTAAGGTCTATTGCAAAGAAAGTCATCTTAGAATTGGAGAAGTCAGTAGCTTTGTTGGGGAAGTGCATTTTATTTGGAAATAATATTTTATATTCCAGTGGAGCATGGTATGCTTGTTGATTAACTGGTAATCAAGTTGCATTTATACATTTTTTTTAAAGCAGTGCATAATGCTTGGACTAGCAGTTCAGCAATAGCTGGAGAGCCCATGGTAGGTAGTAGCTCATCTTTGCCATTGCTCAGTAAAAACTTTGTGGCAAGTAGAAACATACAGTTATCTGGCATACAGAGCAAAAATTCCTGTGGCACACACAGCCCCACCTTTTCTCTGAACTGAAAACCTCATGGGCCAAAGGTGCACCACCACTGACAGCAAGTTTGATAAATGTGTTCGAAGGCTACACACAATCTCTTCCTGGGCTGCAAAATTACTTGTGTGGGTTCATGGTTGGACTATGAGCTGGAATTCCACACATCCCTATGCCAGAAGGATAAGTGGAGGTGCACCTTAAAGAACATCTTCATTTTTAGTAAAGTTGTATTTTACAGTTTACACCCCTCTCTGAGTAATGCTCATTGTGAACTACATACCTTCACACACACTTTACTGTGTGTTTACTTTTGTTCTTGAACCAAGTTTCAGCCAGGCAATGTGTGTATTGCACATACTTGCAACTGTCTAATTTATTCCACTGGCTATTCCCTACTCTATGGGTAAAGAAAATCATAAATGAGACTATAATTGCAGGAAATTTAGTTCAAACATAGACTGTGCACTAGTGGGCAATACCAGCCATGGTATTCTTTATATATTTAAAAGCTGCCTCTGCAAAATAGCTTGGGACTGCAAAACAATATGCGAACCAAGAAGTGCTCATACTTTTTTAACTCAAGCTGCTCTAAAAGCTCTTATAAAAATGTTGAAAAAGACTATACATTCCCTCAACTACAGTTGCTGAAGCTGAAATGATGGATTACAGTGGTGCTTTAAATTTTGTGAACCCTTTTAAATTGTCTATGTGTTTGCATAACTATGGCCTAACCATGATCTGTTATTCACACCACCACTAGACGAGAACCCAATTAAACAAATGAGTCAAAAACATTATACATGTTCTTTTATTTATTGGCAAATGCCAATGTTCATGAGTAGGGATGGGCTCGATGTTCGAGTCGAGCAGGAGTTCGACTTGAACATTGGCAGTTCATGTGTTTGGCTGTTCGCCCGCCGAGCGCCCCACAGGGCACTGCGCACCGTCATTTACACAGGAGAAAAGTTAATGATATGCTGCTGGTCTGGTGACATGAGCAGGTAGTGGTACATAGGCTCAGTAGTATACATTTTAACCATACTATACCATATATTGTCATTGGAGCATTTTTTCAATTGTACAAGCAAAGTAAAGAGTAAACTGATGCATACTGATTTACTGAATTCCACATACACCAAAATGATTAGATAATTTTCTCATCGTATGATGGGTTATAAAAGCATTACATTTGATGATATACTTGATTCAAAAATATCTTCCTGTTTCTTTCCTATGAAAAAATAAAAGACATAGTTATTACTAGGTTATTGTGAAAATATTGAAACAGGTCAGAGGCGTACCTAGAAATCCTCTACCCCATCAAAAAAGCATGATTTTTTCAATAAAATAATATTCACTGCCTGCCGCATCGGAACCTTCCTTTTACGCATCCTTCACGCTGCACCCAGATAAGGTGAGGGGTCCAGGTGCAGTGTAAAAAAATGGGGAGGCTGTAGACTGAAGGAAGTGGGGCACAGTAACCCAGCAATGTCGGCAGTTACCAGGGCCCTCGTCCGCCAAGTGGCAGAAAGCCAGGGCCTGTGACCCTGGTAGTTTTAGCACTGTATAGAGGACTACAAATCCCATCAATACATTATACAGCAATGCAGAATACCACCAGCTATAGAGGACTACAAATCCAAGCAATATATTAACCAGCAATCCAGAATACCAACAGGTATAGAGAACTACAGATGTCAGCAATACTTTATACAACAATGCAGAATATCAATAGCTATAGAGAACTACAAATCTCAGCAATACATACAGTAATGCAGAATCCCTGCAGTTGTGAGCCCCAATAATAATGGTGTTAGAGGGCAAGCAGAGGCAAGTCTCTTCCTGCCCCCTTTCAGGGTATATGGAGCGAGCTGACGCTCAGTGGGTAAAACGCGGTTGTAGGAGTATCAAACACTGCAGGAGGGAGCTGCCGGAATGTTGGCCTGCTACACGCTGGGAGTTGTAGTCACAGGAGGCAATGTTGGTGCCTTGGAGGATACCGCGGCTGCTGTGACCCTGGGAGTTCTGCCATGTCAGGGAACCAAGAAACCAGACAGAAACTTAAAGTGCAGGTTTAAAAAAATAAAACAACAGAGATGTATGTTGAGCGCACTCAGATAAGTGGATTCTTAGGGTAGGGGGGAGAAAATTGAATTTATGTATATCCCCAATGAGGGGACTGAAGCGTGCTGCTCTTTTGTGGGCACCTGAAGAAGTCCTGCCAAATACTGAATACAAGAAAAAACACACGAGCGCCACAGCCTAATGGACTGAAGTGTGGGAGAGTAACAATGTTGCACTAAGTGTAATTCAAAACTTGATATTAAGTGGCAACAATTGATGTCAAGCTGCAAGCAAAGGTTCTGTCGAGTTGGTAAACCAATGGCGATGTCTGTGCGGATGGGGAGAATACTGTCAAAAATGGGGCTACAACATTCAGAAAAAAGGTACTTACATAGAGGTGCATGAAAAGGAGCCCCTCTGTTGCCAGATGTGCACAGAGTCTGCTGTCCTAGGTGGTGAGGAAATGGGTACGGTAGAAAGGTTTCCAATTGCAGCATCAGGATACCAGATTTGGAAACAAGGTGGAAGAATCCGTCCTATTAGGAGTTTTTAATTGGTGGACTGCTACGGGGATGCAGCGGCTATAAGGTGTATTGCGAAGGGCTGCGGGGAGCTGGTGATGTGAGGGAGATCGTTAAATGTGGCAGAGGATACGGCAGCTGTAGGGTGTATTGGGGAAGGATGGGATGGCTGGTGCACGGGAGCTGTCCGTGGTAATAGAAAGTGAAGCGGGGAGCCTGTGATGGGGAGGCGGCGCCTATGCCACGAGGAAAGCAGAGGACATGTGTGGGAAGAAATTTGATTTAAAAAGATCGGCAATGGAGAGTTAAGCAATTAAAAAAAAAAAAGTATTGAATGATAAAAGCAAAGAATGAACTCTGGGGTTCTCCAGGGCAACGGATTTGGAGAAAATGTTCCTCTTTGACAAGCCACGGAAAAAAACCAAGTGTGGTTCTGGCAGGAGTACTTGTAGATTTAAATTTGACAGGTGAGCCTGAACAAAAGGATAGGGAAAGACTGGGAGAGGTGGGGAAAGTATTTGCTGTTATAGAACTCTTAAAGAAATTTATTGTGTGGGGAACAAATTTTATTCACATATTGTGGGTATATTATTGGGATGTAGATTGTTGGGATGTGTTGATGAAATTTTTCTTTAAAAAAATGTATATATTTATGCAGGGGCTGACTTTTACTGTCACACTGCACTCTACTGTCATGTGACACACATTAGGCATACTCAGGGGCTGACTGGCAACTTTTGGCCCAGGGGGGCTAGTACAACCCAGAGGCCCATGGTTCAGCTTAGTGAATAGCCTCCTCAGTGATAAAGGAGTACTCTTAATGTCATGAGGGGGTAAAACAAAAATTAACTTCTTAGGGTGCAAAACAAAACTGCAGCTTAACTGCAGATAATCACCATACGGGGTTAATTTTATAGTGATCTACTTTTTTGATTTAGTTTTTTACATTTTAACATATCTCTCGGTCAGTGCTGACAGAGAGAGAAGAGGTCATGGCATGTCAATGTGTTTTAACATTGGTTTAGTATTCAGATCAGGCAGTGATTATGGCATGTAGTCCTTCTCACTACTTTATCTGTGGCTATTAGTGACAGCTAATCCCAGCATACTGTATACTGGGATCAACTGTCACTCTGGGCCATTAGAAGCCCTGCGCATCTAACCTCTGTATTGTGCGTTACACCGCTGGCCTTTGTACTGCGTTGCGGGCGGGTGTGACGCAGAGTACAGAAGTCAGCGGTGTGACGCAGAGTACAGAGGTCAGGGTGTAATGCACAGTACAGAGGTCAGAGTGTGACGCACAGTACAGAGATCAGGGTGTGAGGCAGAGTACAGAGGTCAGAGTGTGACGCAAAGTACAGAAGTCAAAGTCTGAAGCAGAGTACAGAAGTCAGAGTGTGACGCAGAGTACAGAGGTCAGGGTGTAATGCACAGTACAGAGGTCAGGGTGTAATGCACAGTACAGAGGTCAGGGTGTAATGCACAGTACAGAGGTCAGGGTGTAATGCACAGTACAGAGGTCAGGGTGTAATGCACAGTACAGAGGTCAGGGTGTAATGCACAGTACAGAGGTCAGGGTGTAATGCACAGTACAGAGGTCAGAGTGTGAGGCAGAGTACAGAGGTCAGAGTGTGACGCAAAGTACAGAGGTCAGAGTGTGACGCAAAGTACAGAAGTCAAAGTCTGAAGCAGAGTACAGAAGTCAGAGTGTGACGCAGAGTACAGAGATCAGGGTGTGATGCAGCACGCCGACCTGTGTGAACCCGACGAAAACTCACCTCAGCGGTCATATAATCCCGAATGCTATCTGTGAGCTCCTAAATGCTGTTCGGGTCTGTGAGCAGAGGTGTCATAATACTATTCATATGGACCTCAGCTGACTGACCCAAATGGCATTCAAGAGCTCCTGAATGCTATTGTGTTATATGACAGCTGTTTATGGGGGCTGAGGGCACGTGGCCTGGTATAGCTCAGGGAGCTCAATCATCCCCCCCTTTCCTGCCCTGCCGGGCCTGTGCTCGGATCAATTGTCTGGTAGCACTGCCCAGAGGACCCCGACATGCGCGGCACCTCTGGGCAGTCGCCGGCCAGCTAAATTAGGACCCCACCTGGAGCTCCTCCCACCGGACCAGCGCTGATTCGCCCCTGCTCTCCCGCACAGCTACGACCTCACCAGCGAGGCACCAGCCATCATCAAGCAGTAAGTGAGGGCCTGGGGTCCCTATTAAGAACCTATTAATATTATCAGAGGATAATTGTAAATCTATTGTCTGCCGTGTATTGGGAATATGTACTCTATATGTGGTACATAAAGAGTACACTGCAGCAATAGATTTACAATTATCCTCTGCTAATATTAATAGGTTAAATGATCCGTAGTACAACTACATGTAATGTAGTATAGATCATTTAACCCAGGGATGGCCAAACTGTGGCCCTCCAGCTGTAGTGGAACTACGAATCCCATGAGGCTTTGCAAGATTCTCACAGCCACAGACATGACTCCCGGAGAGAGATGCTTCATGGGACTTGTTTCACCACAGCTGGAGGGCCGGAGTTTGGCCATCCCTGATTTAACCCATTCATGTTAGCCGAGGATAATTGTAAATATTGCTGCAGTGTACATGTACATTAGTACATGTACATTACACACATCCAGTACACTGCAGCAATATATTTACAATTCTCCCCTGCTAATATGATTAGGTTAAAAGATCCATAGTACATAATATGTAGTTGTACTATGGATCATTGAAACTATTCATGTTAGCAGGGGAGAATTGTAATTCTATTGCTGCAGACTGCAGTGTACTGGACGTATGTGCTGTATATGTACTATGGATCATGACTTAACCTATTCATGTTAGCAGAGCAGAATTGTGAGCGCCTCCCACAAGCTGAGCACCGTGGCGCGATGCAGCGATCCTGCCCAGCGCCGACTACGAGAGGCACAGCATGAGGCAACAAGGATTGGAGTGAAACTGTGAGTGAGGGAAGCTGGGGCAGGGCTGGCTGTCAATCTATTTCCTACAGTGTACTGGAAGTGTGTACTGTATATGTAGTACATATATACAGCACACACCTCCACTACACTACAGCAATAGATTTACAATTCTCCCCTGCTAACATGAATAGGTTACATCATCATCCATAGTACATAACATGTAGTCGTACTATAGATCATTTAACCTATTCATGTTAGCATGGGAGTAACTCTATTACTGCAGTGTATTGGAAGTGTGTACCAGGTTAAATGATCCACAGCACACAGTTCCAGTACACTGCAGTAATAGAGTTACAATTCTCCCCTGCTAACATGAATAGGTTAAATGATCCCAGAGGCAGATGCATGATCGGATTTGTAGTTTCACGACAGCTGTGTGAAAACAAATACAAATGTTTTATTGTTCTTAAAGGAGAACTATGGGGTTAAGGCTTTTCCCCATAGTTCTCCTTAGGGTAACGGGAGGACACAAACTAGCGTCCTCCCGTCACCCTAGGCTCAGTATACCACGAGCTGTAGCTCGCGGTATACTGAGACGCCGCAGTATACCGCGAGCTGCTGCTCGTGGTATATACTGAGACGCCGCATCCGCCCAGCTGCATGACTGACAGCTGGCTCTGCCTATCTAGAGGCAGAGCCAGCTGTACCCGCCCCCTCCCCCGTCCGTTCCGCCAGTCAGCGCTGGCGGATCGGAGCGGGGAGGGGGGAATCCAGCCCCTCCCCTGTCACGGCAGAGAGCCGTGACAGGATCGAGAGGTGAACGAACGCCGGTATGTGTTCGCTCACCTCCCGATCTACTGAGCCGACCTGTGACAGTCTCATTGTCACAGGTCGGCTAGAACTATGAGGTGAGTGAAAAGCACTCACCTCATAGTTCTCCTTTAAACAGTCATAAATTAGAGTTCTTCATAATCATATAGAAATTGGCCTAAAATAATTAGTTAGTATTGTTTTTAAAAAAATATCGCCTGTTCCTTTAAGAAAAAGTATCGGTAATTGGTATTGGCAAGTACATGAGGGGAAGTACTTGTACTTGGTCTTGAAAAAGTGGTATCGGGACATCCCTAATGATGACCATCCCTCCAGGGACCCAGCTCTTTCAACAATCTTTGCAAAATACTCCTTTCCTTTGGACGCCTCATTATCACAAACACAGTTTGTGCAATCCACAGTGTTCGTGCACACACCAGCAAAAACAGAACACTGTCTTTCTTTCTCCTTGCAGGCTTTGGCTTACCTAATTCTTGCACAGGAGCTTTCTCTTGTTCAAAAACAGTTGAACTTACTTCAGCAAGGGGACGCCAATTTTGCCCATTGCTTTTTCCACTATATTGTCATACATTGCACATAAACTTCTCTTTGGCAGGGACTCCAACTCTGCCCATTGCATTTCTCCACCATATGTGAGAACTCGCTTCAAACAGTAGAGCACCAAGGCCACTTCCGCTCGCTTGAATCTCCTTTTAAGGGCTTCTTTGCCCACTTTTATTGACACAAAAACTCAAAAGTCCACACAGGTTTTCCCTCACAGGGGTTTCTATGATGCACAGTGGACCAACACCAGCAGATGACATGGCTCCCCAAATCAACACAGACTGTGGAAACTTCACACTGGACTTCAAGCATCTTGCAGTGTGTGCCTCTCCCTTCTTCCTCCATACTCTGGGTCCTTGGTTTCCAAATGAGATGCAAAATTTGCTCTCATCAGAAAAGAGGACTTTTGACCACTGAGCAACAGACCAGGTCTGTTTTTCTTTAGCCCAGGTAAGACGCTTCTTACCTAACAAACTAACATTTTGACCATGGTACAGAGGACACATGAGACCGCTTGTGCAGGCCTAGCAGCCCGTACAAGAGGAATTTAACTAAGGGGAGGAAAACACTGCCACCTTAGACAGCAATGTCATCAAATGTAAAAACAATGCTGTAGGTTAGTACAGAGACAGTCATTGCTTGCAGGACACTGCCATGGTTCTGTATGCTTGACAACCAATGCTGGAGGCAGACACTAACAGAGGAGCCTGTTGCTATGTGGTAAAGTCTGTGCTTGATAGCTAACTGTCAAGGACTAGAAAGGTCAATTTTTACATTTTTTTTTATCAGTGGTTTACATCCGTTTTATGTGTAGGAAAGGTTTTATAACCAAGTGCCGATCCAAAAAGTATTTTTTTGCGCTAGTGTCCATTCTCCTCTAGGTGGTGTTATATAACCCATGGCGAGCATACGAAACAGTATGTCTCTCAATGGATGATGAGAGTAATGAAGCTTTATCTAAAACAAGATAAATTAGTTGAACTTACCATTTGCAGCTGATCTTTGAGCATTCTCACCACTTTCCCATATGAGCTTCCCAGCGCCATAAGATAAAACATGAGAATACTTTTGGTGCCATGAACAAGACAAAAAACACAAATGAGATTAGATATTTCAATAAATAGAGGCTCATTGATGGTTTATTGACCATTAGATATTATTACAATCTTACCATGAAAAAAAAAACAGAGGTACCACAAATGCCTGCGAGCCAACAAACCAGAAGAAATTCTTTGCAACTTCTGCCAGAGAATCAACTGCTGTTGGTATTGTTTCCCATATATACTGCTGGTTTCTAAAAGGCCCACATGCCTTTGATGGAGTTATGCTGTAAAAAAAGGACATGTGCTTTTAAAAAACAATCTTTTTTTACTTTCAAAATTAGTATGTTGGTAACTCATAAGATGGACAAATTAATGTATCTGCATTTTATTGCACCCCAATAGATTGAGATTGAAAATTCAAATGTTTTTGTTACTTTTAATATGATAGCAACAACCATTTTCTGTATAGCACATCACAGTATCACTATATGAAACATTATCATAAAGTTAATTGAAACAGCAAAAGTTCTCTTGTGCAGTGTGAAAATTCTTTCTTTATTACACATAAACTAAAAAAAATTACATAAATCCAGTGACTTTTTCCTACAATAACATCATGCTAGACTTAGTTCACAAAGTTTTACTGCAAGGATTTTTATTTTACTTTATTTTATCATTACCACAAGGAGTTTTTATTTTATTTGTATTTGACTGTCATTGTCAAACTTCATTGTACTGAAATTAACTGTCACTATATTGAAAATAAAGATTATTTGGTGTGTTAACTTTGTGAATTGAGCCTATTTTTTCTCTTTTGAAATTCCTAAATATAAGGTTGCAACGTTTAGTAGCGCTCACCCCTGAAGGAGCCGCTAGATATGAACCAGGGCTCTCCTACCTGTTTTGCCAACCACCAGTCTTTTTTTCTCAGCTCCAGCAACACTGACACTCCGGAACAGAACAGGCTCTTTTTAAATGTAATTTTTTTCTCTACTGTCATTTTTGCTGCAGCAGGTTCTATACATTGTACAGATGTGCCACTTTACAGGCAGTTTAAGGGGACCCCCCAGGCACGATATTTAAAGGAATTTTTCATTTTTATTGTTTCACTTTAAGTGATGTTAAAATCGCTGCTCCTTTAAAAATTGTATTTTTAAAAAGTGTTCCCTAGGGCAGAACCCGAATCCCCATACCCTTTTTATAGCCAATAAATGCAAATAAGCCTTCAAAATGGGGTCAATTGATTTTCAAAGTTCTACCCCAATAGACTTGCATTGAGTTTGAAGTTCGAATTCAAACTTCTTCCATGTTTGAATACGAACCAAACACGGGGGTGTTCGGCTCATCACTAGTGCCCATGGCATCCAGTCATTGTTATCCTTGTACAAAAGTGTAAAAGCTACATATTCATTATGTTTTACTTAATACAAACTACCAGTTAATACTCACGAAAATATACTGTACAGGATTGGTACCCAAGACATGGCAAGACCCAGGAGCAAAACCAGCAGAAAAAAGAAGTTAGCACTGGACGCTCTGAATGTTCGACTAGCTGGTTGACAGTTGTTGAAAAGTGTTAACTGGAAGGAATTAAGAATAGTGTTACACACAAAGTATAAGTTGTAGGGGAAAGAAAGATTTAAAGGAAATCTATAGCTTTTTTTAAATATGCATGTGATTGCAATTAGTGTAAAATGATTTTGCAAATGTAAAATAAATATTTAATTTTTTTTTGTGTATAATTTTTAATTTTTCATGTACATGTGGGCAGCCCTATTTGCATATTGTTTCTCTGTTTCCTGATTATAGCAGTATGACTGCTCCACTGCCCAATATACATATTATAATCTACTCATTCTGAAAACTAGGGATGCACCGATACCGATACAAGCATCGGTATCGGCCGCGATACCGAGTATTTGCATGAGTACTCTTACTCGTGCAAATACTCTGATACATAATTTGGTATCGGCGAGTACTTGAAAAAAAGTATCGGTACTCGTATTTGGCCTTAAAAAAGTGGTATCGGTGAAAACAACAGACTTTGTGTTCTGTGAAGTTAGTGGGATTGCTGAATGCAAACTGACAAACATCCACACAAGGAAACACTTACAAACCTGTAATGCCAAGCATGTGAACCTGTGCAAATTACTTTCAAATAATGTTTCAGTAAAATATATTTTCACACAAAATGCACCATGAGGTCTGCTGGTAAACAACAGAGTTGGATTAAGGCCCTAGGCAAGACAGCAGCTTTGGGCCCCCTTAGGAATATATAAAAATAAATGTGTGTGTGGAAATTTTATAAAAAAATGCTTGTCCAAGGACTAAATCTATGGCCCAGTCTACTTGTCCCTCATGACAATCTACTTTGTACGGGATACAAAAAGTAATTTTAACCAAAACCGTATTTAACCGTGCTAAGAAGCACTTCTTATTGGTCAGTGCTGTCAGGTGACTGCTCTGACTGAGTGCTCGGAATTTGCGAGCGAAACCCAAAATCCATGGCGCAGGGCTGTGCTAGATGGCAACATGGGTACCGATAGTACACCCATAATGGCAGAGGGGAAGAACCATTTGCCAAAAGGCAAGTATAGCAGGTGGGAGAGGGGGGACAGATTTGAGCAGGTTATTCCATTTTCCCAAAGTGAACTTACCCTTTAATGCACATTGTGCATTTTAGAGAGTACTGCTGTCCAGCTACCACAATATAGCACACAGTGGATTGGGGGCAGCACTCAGCGCACACATGCACAATGCCCTATGCAAGCGTTTATTTACATACAGATGGTAAGGGCGGTGGTGTTTGGTTTTAATTTTTTTAAATTATTATTTTATCACTTTTTTTTTACTTTTTCAATTTTCATTTATCTTATTATTTTTTTACTTTTTTTAATTTTAATTTTTGTATTACTTTTTTAATTTGTTTTTTCACTTATCAATTTTTTTCTTTTATTTTTCTTTTAGTATTTTGTTTTACTTTTTTCCCTTTTTAAAATTTTTATTTCCACTTAATTTTATTGCTATCACACAGGGCATAACAATCCCCTATGTGATAGCATTCGGAGCTGACAGGTTCTCTTTATGGAACCTACCCTCCTATATAGGATTTCGAGCACAGCACTGTGCTCGATCTCCTATGCAACTGTGAGTACAGCATTCCTGTCTCTCTGTTCACAGAGTAGATCGCAGAATGGACGTTCTCCGTTCTCCAGAAGAGTGGGGGACCGCAAAAAAACACGGCAGGGAGATGGACCAGCTACTTCTCCACAGAATTTGCCGCAATCCAAGGGCCCTGTCAGTAAGAAACTGTTGGTCACAAATCCTTCTATGCTGCAGGCCCCCTTACATCCAGTGCCTTCCCTGGAAGCTCTCCCTGCATCCTCTAACCCTGCAACTGAAGCATCCATTAAGACCATGCTTCTTACACTACGCACAGAGCTGCAGAGCGACTTCAAAGCCTCCTCACACTCTATACAATACCAGGCGAACGCACAAACCATGTCGAAGCTTATCTGGGCAATTATGCATTGGCCTATAATGACCTGGTTGATGCATATTCCGATCAGCAGATGTTAATCCACCAGGTGCAGGAAAAAGTGGTAGACCTAGAGGATAGATCCAGGCATAACAACATCAAATTTAGGGGGATCCCTGAGTCGGTCGGTGGTAGTGATCTAGCTTGGTACCTTCAATGCCTCATCACCACTCTACTCCCCCATCATCCACCTGCTGATCTGATCATTGACAGAGCACATAGATTGTTTAAGCCTAAACACCTTCCAGCATCCACACCCAGAGATGTGATTGCAAGGATCCACTTTTTTCACATTAAGGAAAAACTGATGCTTTTGACCAAACAAACAGCATCTCTCCCGGAGCCCTACTCTGACGTCTCCCTCTTTGCTGACTTCTCTGCTGCTACGGCCCAAAAGAGAAGGGAATATGCTGCGATCACCAGAGCGCTCCGTGACAACAGTATCTCCTATCGGTGGGAGTTCCCCACTAAACTACTAGTCTCCTATCAAGACAAAGTGGTCCCCCTCCTCACACCAGTCGATGCTGCGAAATCCCTGCAAGCCTGGGGTATTTATGTTCCCATTCCTCAGCCATCATCCAGATGCAGTCTCCCACAACGTGTTCCCATGGACTGGTCTACCCGCTGTTTTATCCTACCTACTCTTCAGGTAACCTGTGAAGTTCGTTTTACACCGGCTGGTGTTATCCTTACAACCTCAGGATCACGTTCCTGGTTGTTGTCCAGAACTGTTACCACCCCCACCCTACTGTGTGCTATGCACACTTCGTTATTTTTTTTTTGTTTGGACTGTTCTTTTTTCAATATGGTGTTTTTATTGTAGACTCGCCCTATCTTAGGGCAGTTGTTTATATCTGGTTAAGATACTTGGCCAATATTGCTAATGTACCTGTATTTGCGTGTCCCTCCCAGTGTCATAGGGAACCTCTGTCTGATGATTATAATGCAGTTCTTTAAAAACTTTCCGCTATACGCCAGGGTCACCTAGTTCTATGGGGGATTACAATGCGATTGTTGATACGACCTTAGATACCTCAAATAAACAGAGATGATGAGATTCCGCTCTCCCCTCTATAATCAGTTCCCAGTGCCTGTATGATGTCTGGAGATGTTTACATAGCCCTGAGAGAGATTACACCTTTTTCTCATGCCCCCAGAACTACTACTCTAGACTGGACTACTTCCTGGTGGATAAGCACACTCTGGTGTCTAAAACAGAGATCGGGCTGATCAGATGATCAGCTGATCTGAACATGCCCTGGTCTCCATTTGTCTCTTTCCTGACCCGCATCCTGGTGTTACCAATATTTGGAGACTTAAAGGAGAACTATGCGGTGAGTGCTTTTCACTCACCTCATAGTTCTAGTCGACCTGTGACAATGAGACTGTCACAGGTCTGCTCAGTAAATCGGGAGGTGAGCGAACACATACCGGCGTTCGCTCACCTCTCGATCCTGTCACAGCCCTCTGCCGTGACAGGGGAGGGGCTGGATTCCCCCCTCCACGCTCCGATCCGCCGGTGCTGACTGGCGGAATGGAAGGGGGAGGGGGCGGGTACAGCTGGCTCTGCCTCTAGATAGGCAGAGCCAGCCGTCACTCACGCGGCTGGGTGGATCCAGACATAATTGTCGGGATCCGCTTCAGCTGCGGCGTCTCAGTATACCGCGAGCAGTAGCTCTCAGTATAACGCGAGCAGTAGTATACTGCGCTTAGGGTGACGGGAGGACGCTAGTTTGTGTCCTCCCGTTACCCTAAAGAGAACTATGGGGAAAAGCCCTAACCCCATAGTTCTCCTTTAACAACAGTTTACTATGTGTCAAAAAGCATAAGGAATATATACATTCTGAGCTGGCTGCCTTTTTGAACACAATGCTACCTTTGTGCCTAGTCCTGCCCAGAGCCGGCGCTACCATACAGGCAACACAAGTGGATGCTTGAGGGCGCTGGTGGGGGAGGGGGGAAAAACAGCGACTCCCTCACACACAGGAGCAGCACAATCGACGGGGCTCTGAGCTTCAGTTTCCTATAGTCAGAGCCCCGCCCACAGCTCTCTCTGCTCTCTCCGAGGCCTGTTCATGCTGTTCCTGCACTGTCCCGGCCAAGATATTAACATATGAATGGGCTGCGGTCATTTGCATATCAATAAACCGCTAACCAATTATATGTAAATATTGCGCCTCATTCATATGCGAATCGCTGCCCCTCCCCCCACTGCTAAGAAAGAAAAGACTGCAAGAACAAGGTTAGTTTAAGTATGTGTATGGTGCATATCTTCGTTACATTGGTGGTCAGTGTGAATACTTTCGTTACATTGGTGGTCATCGTGAACACTTTCGTTGCCATGGCGGTCATTGTGAACACTTTCGTTGCCATGGCGGTCATTGTGAATAGTTTCGTTACATTGGTGGTCATTGTGAATACTTTCGTTACATTGGTAGTCATTGTGAATACTTTCGTTACATTGGCGGTCATTGTGAATACTTTTGTTACATTGGCGGTCAGTGTGAATACCTCTGTTACATTGGCAGTCAGTGTGAATACCTCCATTACATTGGCGGTCAGTGTGAATACCTCTGTTACATTGGCGGTCAGGGCGAATACTTTTGTTACATTGGCGGTCAGGGCGAATACTTTCGTTACATTGGCGGTCAGTGCGAATACTTTCATTACATTGGCTGTCAGTAAGAATGACTGTTACAAAGGCAGTCAGGGTGAATACTTTCGTTACATTGGTGGTCAGTGCTGTTAGTTATGCTATCTTTAGTGAAGATCTATGGGGGGTTGTCCTTGTATTGGAGTGTTCCATGGTAATAGACCTGTGGTCTCAGTGCCTGTGGCTTTACATATTGGGCTTCAGAAGATGATGGTCCTCCTGTTCCCAAATTCTAGATATGTTTAGTGTGAGCTGTAACATGGACATCTTTGTTATGCTTTCTGGAGTGGTACACTTTGGGGTGTCTTTGTATTGGGGTGCTCCACAGTAAACTATTTGGGGTGTCATTGCTTGTGGCTTCGCATATCCAGCACTAGTAGCTGATGGTC